AATTTTGGCCATCCGGGGCGCTCCTGGGGAGCATATATGAACCTTCTTGGGATTATCTGGAATCCGCGTCGGGGGCCGTCCACAAGCACTTTTGGGGCCGCTCGTATGCCAGAATTGTGTCTTGGACGACTCTGGAAGCCAAAACAATCTCCCAGGGCGCCGAAAAGGGGCCCCAGACCCCCGGGGAGAAAGTGGGTATCCAGAAGGGGAGGGGGGAGTTTTGGAAAAGTGGGCTCCCCCTGGGCCCGGGGACCTGGACGCCGCGCATCTATCTATAGATGTGTGTATATAGATATACATACAAATACATGTACACATACATGTACATGTACATATGCATATGCATTTGCATATGCATATGCATATGCATATGCATATGCATATGCATATATGCATATGCATATGCATACGCATATGCATATGCATATGCATATGCATATGCATATGCATATACATATACAAATACATATACATATACATATACATATACATATACATATACATATACATATACATATACATATACACATACATATACACATACATATACATATACATATACATATACATATGCATATACATATACATATACATATACATATACATATACATATACATATACATATACATATACATATACACATACACATAGACATCCACAAACATAAACATACACATAAGCATATACATATGCATATACACATACATCTACATATGCATATACACATACATATACAAGTATATATCTATGTATATATATACATACATATATGTATATATACACACACATACATACATATAAATCCCACCAGCCCTCTGGGCGTCGGTGGTTTCGGGAGTTTCCTCTTCCACCCCTCCTTCTTCCCCTTCGGGGAGGGGTTTACCCCTCCCCCTACCCCCTCCCCGCTGACCTGGACAAGGGGGTTCCGCGGCGCGTTGGAGCGTCCAAAACGGCCTCGGCGAGGAAGCCAAAATCATTGATTTTACCCTGGTTTGGGCCCCATTTTGGCCTTCTGAGGGGGGGGTGAATTTTAGGACCCCCGCTTCTTTGATCGATTTCCTCCACGATGGCCGCAAGAGGCCCCCAGGATGCCCCAAGAGGCCGCAGGATGGCCCCAAGATGGCCCCAAGAGGCCCCCCAAGAGGTCCCCAGGAGGCCCCCAAGAGACCCCCAAGAGGCCCCAAGAGACCCCCCAGAAGCACCCAAGGTGCTCCCAGAGGCCCCAAGATGGCCCCAAGAGGCCCCAAGAGGCCCAGGAGGCCCCAAACAGGATTCCGAACGGCCCACAGAGGCCCCCCCGAGGCACCCAAGACGCCGAAAAGCCCCTCAGGACGACCCTCTACTCGCCTGGGCGTCGTTTTTGGACGGGCTGGTGGGGATACGCGAAGCGTCTAGAACAGATGTACGCGCTAGGCAGCCAGGTCTTAGAACACCCCCTTGGTGCTGGGGCCCTTCTTCTCGAGCGCGAAAGATACCCGTACCCTTACCTAGGCAGGGTGGCAAGGGGCCGGGGGGGCGGTTCGTCGCAGCTGACGGCGGCTGCACAAGTGTAGAAACGACAGCCGATTGAGCATTACACACCGCTGTCTTCTCGGGGCGCACGTTAGCACCGATCGCACGTGCGTTCGAATTGGCGGAGTGCCCGACCCTGCGTTGGTTGTTGTCGATGTAGACCAGCTACTGCGGAGGCGCGCCCCTAGACACACATCCGGGCGTTGAGGAGTCAACGCGCACTCGGGGGCGCATGCGAACAACTCTGGCGCGAACGTCATTGCGCGACAACCGCCCTATCGCGAATTGCTCGATGCAGAGACATCGCGAATCTGTGCCCTGGGCGAGGTCGCCAGAAGCCGCCCCCCTCGAACGGCCGTCCGCGGATCACCACAGCTAGGTACGGTTGCCCCATGAAAACCCAAAAAACATACCCGTACCTGGCCGGGGTGCCGCAGCTCACCCCAGCTAGGTCCGAGTATGTTTCGGTGGTTTCAGGCAGGTCCCCGTACCTAGCCGAGGTGGCGGCAGGCCCAAAACGCTCTCGAACACATATCATGCCCTCCAGAGCCGTCCCCGACGTGGCCGCTGCGGCCCCCTGGGGGCGCGACATTGCAACGTCGTTCCCCAGTGCAGGCCCAGACGCATTGGTTGCCAGGATAGCGAGGACATGCAACTCTTTATCGATTGGGACAGGCGCCGCCACATATGGGCGGCTTTGAACCGCGCACGCACCACGATGCCCCGAGACGTCCCTAACAAAAACCAGCGCTTGTCGCTGCAATCAGACACCCAGCCATCGAGCGCGCCATTGCGGCTTGACGCGCGGATGCTGCACTGGCGCGCGCGGGGCAAGCTGACCGGGCACAATAGCAAGCGCCCAGTCCCCCGGACGGCCCATCTCACCTTGGCTGGCCCCGGGTACGGGTATCTTTCGGACAAATGACTTCTGGCTTTGAAGCCCAGCCGTGGGCCCAGGTCAAGGACCCCGTGGCTGCGCTCGTCCTCACGGCGGCCAAGATCGATCTCCTTCTCCAGGGGCCTTGGGTGACCCAGGAACCTTCCAGGCAGGGGAGGAGGAGGGGCAGGAGGAGGAGGAGGAGAAAGTCATCGGCTCCCACTGATGCCAGCCTCGGCTCTCGCGGCACGACGCCCAGCTGACAGAAAGACCGTCTCCAATGCGGCGAGCTGGGCACCCTTCTTGTTCACGGGCACTTCCGATGCCTAGCCACAGCCCCGTGGAGGGATCAGCACTGAGGCTGACCGGGCAGCCTCTCTCCTCCTCGGAGCCGCAGTGCACCTGCAAGAAAGATGTGCGCGCGGCCGCATCCCTGACCCCCGCCTGGCCATCGCTCGGACGTTCATTCCCTGTGCTTTTGTTCGGTTTCGTGCGTGTTCTTTTTCACAAAATGATCAAGGATGCTCCTCGATGGTCCTCGCCGAAGAAAAAAAAGCACAGGTCCGAGCGATGCCAAGGACCCCTGCCTGCTCGTGACCAGGAGGCCCTGGGATCCTGCCGCCGAGTGGCTCGCCCCGCCCCCGCTGGCCCCTCACGGGGGGCCGCGTCCTCTGCGACGGCTCGGGCCTCGACTTCGAGCTCCCCTCGGCCCAGCAGCAGTGTGAGGGGGGGGGGGGGGGGGCGCGATGTACGACGCGTCGCCAGCTATCTGGGAGGATGGCACGGAGCCGTCCCTCCCAGCACCTGGCCCTTCCAGGTAGCGAGGGACGGCGAGGACTCTGCGGTCCACACGGCAGCCAGGCTTCTCGAGGGAGATGCCACGGTGCATTCGGACTGCGCAGGCACGCCAGGCTGCTGCAAAGAGAAGCGCCCTGCGTTGCCAGGAGCCAACCACCGAACCCGTCTCTGGCGGCGGCTCCTTCAGGTTGGGGGCCTGGAAGGGGCCAGTTGCAAGAAGGAGCCCGCACACGCGTCCGTCTACGACGTGCGCGAAGGCAAGCTCGCTGCGTTCGGGAGTACAGGCAATCACGAGGCCGATGCCCTAGCTAAGGAGAGCGCTTCTAAGGTCAGACTGATGATGCACTACATACTCCTCCTGAAGGGTCGCTAGCTCTCGCGAGAGCAGCCCTCGAGCTCCCAGGTCGGGCGGAGGCGCACGGTGGCGACCTCGAAATCGACGATCATCTCGGGGCCAGAGCGCTGACCTCGCCTCTCTTGAGCCCCCCTCGGAAGCCGAGCTTGTGGTGCCCAGCGGCAACCTGGTGTACTCTGGATGGGGCAGTAATCGCCCTCCCTTTGGATCCGCTGGGGGGGTTGGGCACGTGCTGTCGGAACGGGTCAAGGGGGGGGGGATCAGCACGAGGGGGAGGAGGAGGAGGAGGAGGAGGAGGAGGAGGAGGAGGAGGAGGAGGAGGAGGAGGAGGTGGCGGAGGGGGGGGGATGGGCAAGCTCCGTCGGAAGGTTAGTCGCCCACCCCTCGACGCATACCCCACCCAATGTGTGGGGGCGGGGGAGCAGGCCCTGCCGTCGACCCGGGCGGAGCCTGCGGCCGAGGAAGGGAGGGACCTCCTTATCGGCGGGCCGTCGGCAGCCCGTGGCACGCCGGCGGCCGCGCGCTAAGGTTGGGTCGGGCGTCGGGCATGTCCTCCTACAGGCGGACGCTGGACGAAAATGCTCACAAATAGTTCAAGCAAAAAAAAAAGAAAAATCGTCCCCAGACTATTGTTGTACTACTTTGGGATATTCCTCCTGTAGAATGACGTGCCCGACTGAACGCCAAGGGGAGCTTCCTGGGCTGGATTCGCCCGCCCGCCGAAGTTCTTGCGCGGCGTGTGGCTGTGAGCACGTCGCCGTCTCGAAGCGAGCCCGGGGCCTCTCGGGAGCACCCGCATCGGCCAAAAGAAGCTTCGCGCTCAGAAGAGCGGGGGGCAAAAACAATCAACCCGAGAGCTTCCTCGCCAGACTGGTGCACCCCGGCAGGGCGTTCCAGCCGGGCCCTCCCGCTCTCCTGCGCGGGAGGCGCGGGATTCCTTCGGGGGCCGCCGCGGGTCGACTCGAGGAGGCGAGGGCTCCACGAGGCCCGAGGGGGGCGCCTCCGCCCCGCGAGGTGCTCCACGCGCCAGCTCCTGGCGGAGCTCCGCCGGTGCCCCGGCCTCACTGGGGAGAGCGAGCCCGTGCCCTCGGCAGAGCACCCGGGGTCGAGGCAGAGGCCGAGCCCGAAGAGAAGTTTGTGTCAGGAGGGGGGGGGAGGAGGAGGAGGAGGAGGAGGAGGAGGAGAGAGAGAGGAGGAGGAGGAGGAGGAGGAGGAGGAGGAGGAGGAGGAGGAGGGGGAGCCGGTCGCGGGCCCCTGGGGCGTGGAGGGAGCCCGTCCTGGGGGCTGCCGCGCGTCCCCTCGAGGGGCGCGCCCTGGGCGCTCTCCCTCTGCCTCGCGCCCGCACTGCCGTCCCCTCCTCCCCCACCCTCCCGCGCCCGCTCTGACGAGGAGGAGGAGGAGGAGGAGGAGGAGGAGGAGGAGGAGGAGGAGGAGGAGGAGGAGGAGGAGGCGCGCGCCTGCACGTGAAGCTCCAGCTTCTCGGCGTCCGACACGCTCCTGGCGTACGCGAACCGCAGCCGTGCTCCTGAGGAGCCCGCGCGCGGGAGGTGCGGGCAAGATTGGCATGCGCATACACACGGCGCCTTGGACCTCTTGGGGAGGGACGCCAAGACCCCGGTATGCTGTGGATCTGTGAACAGTCTGGTCTCGCCAGAGACCAGGCTTTTAGCCGTGTCCGCTGCGTCGTGCTTCATGGGAAGGCGGTCCGACCATCCGAGACGCAGTGGGCATGCATGGATATAAGTCTTGCCCGCGCAAGAGAAGACCGCTTGATCCGAATGTGCCGGGTTGCGGCCTTGCCCACCGCCAAACCGAAACAGGTCAAAAATGCATGGTGTGATTGCATCATTGGTTTTGATTGCCTCATCTTGATCGGTGTGTGGCAAATTCTTTTGACCGTGGTGGTTCGGGACGCGGGCTTGGAAAGTGGGTCTACAAATGGGTTTGGACGTGGGTTCACAAGTCGCTTTGGACGTATAGGCCTTCACGCAGCACAAGGCTCCACGCACATGGGGCTCCGCTTAGACAGGGGCACCCGTCACAGCGCGGGCCCCGTAGCAAAGAACCCCCTTAGACTACGTCCCACAAGTTGCACTGCATGAATTGCACTTCACAGACTGTGCACAGCACTGCTTAGGGCCCCCCGCGCTGTCGTCACCTCGCGGCTTCGGCGGCTTCTACCAAGCTTCAGGGGGAGTTGTTTGAGAGACTCTCGCGATGGAGAAATGGGGGAAGCGACGGAGCAACACTGGAGCGGAAGCAGGGAGGAGGAGCAGCAGCGAGAGCAGGATGGGGACGAGCATATGAGCACGAGGGGATGGGAGGCACGGGCGGGAAGGGTGGGAGAAAGGAAGAAGGCTCCAGGGCTCCATAGGGTGACGACAACGGGCGCGCCGACGAGACGAGGCCGCCGCCAAAGCGAGACGAGACATCGAGGAAAAGCCTTACGTCTGCACCGCAGCACGGAGAGGGGAAGGGGACGGGGGAGACGGGAAGAGGGGCAGGGCGAGGGTAATAGAGGAGGCAGAGGCAGAGGCAGAGGTCAAGCCCCCATCAGCCCAGAGATCCGCCGCTCCAAAAAAAGTGCAGCGGCTGGATTTTGCCAGTTTGGGGCCTCCGGGGGCCCTTGCCGGGCCTCGGGAGCGTAAAAAAACGACTCTGGACGAAAAACCAGCGCCAGTGAAGTGGTCCGGACCTCTGGGGCCCACGCATCGAAAAAATTGGAGCGGCCAGATGTCTGGGAGTAGAGCTGGGGGGGAGAATCGCTCTGCACGACCCCTACAGGAAGGGGTAACCAGCAGACTCGAGCTGGGTTCGCTCCCTGACCCCAGCTTGCGCCGAGCCCTTTCTGCGCACGCACCCTCGACCCGTCGCGAAGACGAGGAATCGGCGGCCAGCCCGGGGGGGAAGTGAGAAGGGGCGGGCCTTCTCAGAAGGCTCGGAAATCCCCCGGCCTTCTGAGAAGTTTTCTGAGCCTCCCCCGAAGACACAGAAGACCTCTCAGAAGGCGCGAGGGCTTCCGAGAAGCCCCGCCGCCTTCTGAGAAGACCCTCCTCCTCCTCCTCCTCCTCCTCCTCCTCCTCCTCCTCCTCCTCCTCCTCCTCCTCCTCCTCCTCCTCCTCATTTCCCCCCCTCGCTCGCCGCCGCTGGGAGGAAAGCCGCCGGCGCGCCGCCGAGGAGGAGGAGGAGGAAAGCCACCGGCGCGCCGCTCCGACTCGGAGGCTGCGCAGCGCACGTCAAGGGAGGGCCCTCCCTCGGCATAGGTGACTACCTACCAGACCACCCCAACCCAACCCGAAGACCCGAATTTCGGGTTGGGGGGGATATGGGCTCCATACGTGTTTTTTCGATGTTCCCCGACCCCCCCCCACTGGAAATGGACGGCAAATTGAAGCCTTCGGGTTGGGTTGGGGTGGTTTGGTGGGTGGTGAATAGGTGCGCGCCGAGTATCGCTGCGCTCTCGAGGGGCGGAGAGACGGCGTGGCGCGGCGGCACGGGGGGGCGCACGGAGACACTCTGGTGCTGCACGTCCTCCGCGGAGGCGCGCGTCCGATCCGAGCACATGGCGTACCCATCGGGCAGGAGATCGTTTCCCGAGCCGGTGGGGCCCCACAGCGCCCGCCACGGCGCACGTACTGCGAGACTTCTCGGTGCGCGCGTCGCCCCTGGGGGGTCGGGGGGGCGGCGCACACATACAGTCGGGGCCCTGAAGAAGGAACCCTTTCGGTTGGGGAGGGGCTCCGCGTTCCTCAAGTGTTTCGCAACTTGCCTCAGGTTTTCCTTGTGTCTTCGATCGGAAATCGAAGTTCAACTCATGGAAAAAGGGGGCCTCGCTCCTCATTTAGGGTTCCTTAGGTCAACGCCCCGACTGTAGTGCAAGTATGTTGGGGTGACGCCGAGCACAGACCTGCTGGAGGGGGGCGGGCGAGGGCCCGAGCCTCTGGTGCATCCTCGGGGGGCCTCGTCTGTCCCGTCGCGCCCCTCTCCGCGTCGAGTCCGTGCCGAAGCCACGTCGGACCCCGCCGGCTCCGCGCCGAATCCACGTCGGATCCACCTCGGACCCACGCCAGGTCCGCGCCGAGTCCGCATCGAGCCCGCGCCGGGCACGAGAAAAAACACCGATTTGGGAGACGCGCGAGGTCCCCCGAAGGTGCAGCGTAACCAAGCCGGGAGAGCGGGCCAACCGCTCGCCCGCCCCGACCCTGGGGCCCAGGATCGGGCCCGGCCAGGAGCGGTGCGGGCGCAGGCCTGGCGCCCTTCCCTGGGACCCCCGACGTCGTGATGTTTGCGCCAGCGTCGACCCCCGGAGGTCATCGGGCGGGCGGCAGGTGGAGGGTGATCCCAAATGGAGGGTGAAGAAAAGGGGTTCAAAAGGGGCCCTTTGGGGCGTCGACCCCCAGAGGTCATCGGGCGGGTGGCAGGTGGAGGACCCAACTGGGGGGCGGAGAAACAGGCTTCAAAAGGGGCCCGTCGGGGCCCCTCTTGGGCCCCCGCTGGCTCCAGAAGGGACCCTCAAAGGGCGGCTCCTTTCGGGCCCGTTTCGGGGCATCGTTGAACCGATCCCTACCCCGAGCGGCGTGGCCAGGGCCCCACTGGCCGACACACCCGCCTGGATGGGGATGTAGGCTGTTCCCTCTGGGTTTCGAGGGGCATCTCCCCAACTGGGGTGGTGGTATGGTGGGGCTGGGAAACCATTGCCCAGTGGGCATGGGGGTATGTTCAACGATACTGACCCCCGCTGCCACCCGCCCGAAGGTCTGGGCCCCTTCCCTGGGACCGGCTTCTCACCCCGAGTCGTGACTCGACGGCCCCGAGGCCCAGCAAGGGCCCCCCCGGAGGCAGAAAATACGGTGGAGGCCAGTCCACAAGAAACATTCCACAAGAAACCCAACCCCAAGACCCCAGGACGTCCACTGATGTTTGGTGTGGGAGCGTCACGCTTTCCATGGCAAAGCCATCGAAACCCAGGGAACCCTGGAGGGAAGCGGGGTGTTTCTTGGCATGGGCCTCCACTGTAGCGAAGAGCCTCCCGTCGCGATGTCTTCCCAACGCGGAGGGGGCTGGGTCCGACGAGCAGCCCGACGGAGAAAGGAGCGGCATCCTCTGGGACGCACGGGGACATACTAGTACGCTGTGTCCTCCTCGGAGGCGCGCGTCCGAACCGAACATGTAGCACAAACATCTTGTGGTACGTTGAGGGCACTGGACAAGGAACCCTTGGATGAGGAATCCAGGGTCTGGAAGATGGCGGAACCCCAATCGTGGACTGGCCATGGATCTCACCGCCGCCCTCATCAGCTAGGGAACCCTCCAGGGTCTGAAGCCCCCTGGGCACACTCCTTAACTAGGGGCACACACGGCACGTGCTGCGCGGCGGGCGCTCCCTGGGGCCGCACGGGTCGGGAGTGTTCGCTGAGGAGTGCGCCCAGGGGAGGGGGAGGGGGAGGGGGAGGGGGAGGAGGAGGAGGAGGAGGAGGAGGAGGAGGAGGAGGAGGAGGAGGAGGAGGAGGAGGAGGAGGAGGAGGAGGAGGAGAGGAGGAGGAGTAGGGAGGAGGGAGGAGGGAGGAGGAGGAGGAGGAGGAGGAGGGAGGAGGAGGAGGAGGAGGAGGAGGAGGCCGGATCCTGCAGAGGAGAGAGTGTGCAGGAAGGAGCAGAGTCCTTTCACCGCGCAATCCTGCAGCCGGGCCTTGTTGCCCAGGTGGCCGCTCGCCTCCAGAGGGTCGCGTTGACACAGAGAAGGGCCAAAAGGGGCGGTGTGCAGTACGGGGCTCAAGCCTGAGCAGAGTCTTTCGTGTGAGTGCTGTTTTCGTGCTGCTTTCGTGTTCCTTCGTTCTGCAAGTGCTGCGAAACGAAATCAAAACGAAACCCGTTCACGAAATCGCCAAGACACCGTTCAGCTCGAGCCCTGGTGCAGGAGATTTTGGGCCAGCGTACTGCAGACGCATGGCGCCAGAGAGAGTTGCTCTGCAGCGCATTGCACCTCGTGCGCGGCGTGCACAGAAAAACACGCCCATTGCACCAAATCCACTGCACCACCCCCTTGTACAGTCAACCCGCATAGCAAGGATGGGCAACCTTCCCAAGGGTACCCTTGCATCCTTGCTTCCTCTCCACATTGTGTTGTTCAGCGCGCTCGATGTGTGCGGGCCCTCATCCTCTTTGCGCGTGCGCTCCCTCGGGAGCGCGCGCGGGGAGCAGGAGAGGTGGAGGTAAGGCAGGAGAAGCAAGGGGAGCAAGCAGGGACAACAAGAGGAGGAGAGGAGGAGGAGGAGAAGGATTAGGCGGAGGAGGAGGCAGGACATGAGGAGGAGAAGAAGGAGAATGAGGAGGAAGAGGGAGGAGGGTAGCGCATCCACGAGCCGCTGGATAGCGCATCCACGTGACCGAAGTGGCCGAATAGATGAACAAGCCTATGCCAGCGACGAGCGCAAGGAACATCATGAACACGGCAAAGGTTCCGGCTGTGGCCCAAAGGTGCATATCAGACCCTTCCGTTGAATCACCGTCCCCCCGCGCGTCGGACAATTGAAGGCCCATGTAGAGGACAACGGAAGCGCCTTGTGGAGATGATGCTGGGCGTCCTCCTCAAATAGGGTGCGTGCTGCACTCTAGAGGCACTGGAGGCAAACAGCAACAAAACACGCTCCCTCCCCTCCCCAAACCTGCGATGGTTCGGTTTGCTTGATTTGGATCACCGAACTTCGCGCACCGCGCCTTGCCGTGCGCGGTGATCTGTCCACCCTCCAGCCCGCGCGCCGCCCCGTTGGCTCAGGCCGCGGCCGAGAATATCTTCGCGTCCCCGCGGGTGACCTAGTTGACACATGGGGACCTATGGGCCCTGATCTGTCTTTTTTTTCCGAAGCATCTCTCCTGCTCAACCTGACCTGCTCCGCCCACCGTCTGCAATGGAGACGGCCGAACGCGGTTCCACGGAGTCGAGGCGCGCACACGCTTGACATCGATTCAAACAAGCGGCAGCACGCTACGCCTGACTCGCGCGTGAAGCGCTGGCAAAAAAATCTGGCACGCAACACAGCGCCCCCGCTGGCTGGCCGTCCCCTGCCTACTCCACCGACCGACTGCTCCGGCTTCTTCTGCCACCATCCCTCCTGCTCACCCTCGACTCCTCTATTCACTATCGGCAAACTGCTGGTCGCGGTGTCACGGAAAAAAGGCGCGCACACGCTTGCCATCGATCAAAACAAGCGGCAACGCGCCAAGCTTGACGACCATTCGGACGACCTGGCAGCACATTGCTTTGCAGGTGGGAGTAGGGAGGGAGAGGAGGAGACCGCGGCGAGAAGGCAAAAGGAGGGAGGAGGTGGAACAATAATGATGAGTTGGATGGTTGAGCCGCAAGAGACATGGGCGCACAAGCCTGGGTCCCCCATGGGCACACAAGCCCAGATTTTGAAAAAAAAAAAAAAAAAAAAAAAAAAAAAAAAAAAAAAAAAAAAAAAAAAAAAAAAAAAAAAAAAAAAAACGTATGACGCTTCGCGGCAGCAGCTTCTGTTTGCACCGCTGACAAAACACCGCCGATGCGCTCACTCAAACACACGGCCTTGTCGTGGATTACTGGGGACTGCTCGCAAGTATTACCTTACACGTCATTGCTGACGGCCCCCCTCAACATCTTCCGCAGGGCCCCCCTCAACATCTTCCGCAGGGCCCCCCTCAACATCTTCCGCAGGGCCCCCCTCAACATCTTCCGCAGGGCCCCCCTCAACATCTTCCGCAGGGCCCCCCTCAACATCTTCCGCAGGGCCCCCCGCTGACATCCTCTTTTTGGCGCGACAAAATGGCTCGCCGAGAACGATCATGCTAGTGAACACGAAACACATTACCAAAAGGATCGAACTGACCACCCTTGGCCCTGAGTTGGCCTGCCGACCGACTTCCCGAGCCGCTGGGTAGCGCATCCACGTGACCGAATTGGCCGAATAGATGAACAAGCCTATGGCAGCGACGAGCGCAAGGAACATCATGAACACGGCAAAGGTTCCGGCTGTGGCCCAAAGGTGCATATCAGCCCCTTCCTTTGAACCACCGTCCCCCGGCCCCCGCGCGTCGGACAATTGAAGGCCCACGTAGAGGACAACGGAAGCCGCAAACGCGACGGTAGTTAGACTCATGGCCCACATGGACGGATACAATATGTCGTAGGAACTTGGGTGATAAGCGTTATTCCAATGGTCGTGCATCGTGCTCCAAGCAAGCATCTTTTCCATGGGGAACACGGGCTCGAGCAAATGAATCACCGCTTCATGCTCGGGGACGGACGAGCCATAACCATAATCTTCAGTCGACAGCATCGCTGACCGCAAGTCCCATGACTGGTTCTTTACCGGATCGGTGAAGGTCCAATCCATTGCCTCCTTCTGGCACTGCGCGGTGCACAGGCCATCTGCACCCGCAGAGTTGCAAAAGTCCAGACATTCAGAGAGCTCTCTGTCCATGACACCAACGGCAAAGAGGCGGAACTCACTAAATCGCATCAGAGTAACGAAGTCGTACCTTGCATACTCTTCCGGCGTGATGGTGAAGTTGTATCCGATGAGCATGGTCAGGAACAGGGCGCTGACCACGCCCGAAAGCTGCAAGAGCGCATCCAGGTCGTCGAACTTGATTGACAAAATACGACACCTGCCAAGCATCCTCATCATTGCTGCGGCTTCACCCTGGCCGCGCGTCCTCACCGTCAGGGGGATCAATGCAAAGTGCACGTTTGGCGAAAGCTGGCGGTCTCAATCAAAACGGATTGTAAAAACGGCTTGAGCCTTGAGCCAAAATGGCTGCGGAATGGGCCCTGATCTGTCTTGGCACAACTGATATGGGTACGGACAACGAAACAAAGTACGATGCCCCATCGCACACGTCGTCCAAAACTGTCAGCGGCCGCCGTTGTGCAGTTGACTTTTTGTGTCAAATGAAAAACGTCCGCGGCGACGTTGCTAAATGAACCCTGTTCAATATGGACAAGAATTGCTGCCGGCACTCGTCCCCCGTTTTTTCCCAATCTGAATCGCACTGACGCTCGACAGGTTCCCAGCATCTGGTGTATCGCCCCTGACAGTTCCGCCTGGACGATTTAATTCCATCGATTCGGGGAACATGACCCACCGAGATCCTGATCCAATCGGGCTGCGTCGGCACGGAGTCGGAATCGGATCGGATCGGCTGCGCCGGATCGGATCGTCGGCGTATCGAGATCGAATCGGATCGGACTGGCCCAAGCCGATCGCCGCGATGCCGCCAGGAGGAGGAGGAGGAGGAGGAGGAGGAGGAGGAGGGGGAGGAGGAGGAGGAGGGGGAGGGGGAGGAGGAGGAGGAGGAGGAGGAGGATCGATTGGATCGATGTTGGCCCTTGCCTCTCGCCGCGGACCGTGGCGCCCGGCGGCGGCCACCAGAGGCCGAGAGCGGCGGGCCGGCCCACCCTTGGCCACTCTCGTTGGCCGCGCCCCACGCGAGAAGCTTCGAGACGGCCTTCCAAGGCCCTCGCATCCTTCTCGTGCGTCCTAATGATTTTTTTTTTTTTTGGGGGGGGGGGGGGGGCAACAGCTCTCGAGTCACGTGTGCACTCCGAAGCGGCACGCGGCAGAGAGTGACCAGCGGCTTTATTTACAACAACATCCCCGAAGTAAAAAAGCACTGGCGAGCAGCTGGACCCCCATTGGCAGGAGAGCCCAGAATCGAATCGATCAGTCGGATCGGCGATCGGAACGAATCGAATCGGCGGAAATCGGCAACCGAATCGGGAAACATCGAATCGGCGGGAATCGGCTGGCTACGACGTCTCAATCGAGAAATCCCAGCACACAGCGGAATCCGAGATCGGATCGAACTGGAACCGGAGGCCATCGGAATCGAATCGAACCGAAGCGGAGGCATCGAAACCAGCCCTGCACCTGGCGTCCACCCGAGGGAGAGGGGGACGGCCGCGCCCCCCCCCCCCGCGGGCGCACGCCGCCGAGGGGGCCCCGGCGCGGGCCCTCGCGGAGGCCACCCGGAGGCCCTCCGCGCGGGCCGTCGCGACGGGCCCAGAAAACGGCCCCAAGAGGGGCCCAAGAAGGGGGCCAGGAGCCGAAAAGTCCAGGCTTCAGCCCCGAGATGGCCCCCAGGAGGCTCCAAGAGGCCGCCAAGAGGGGACGCGAAGAAGGGGACCAGGAGCCGAAAAGTCCAGCCTCCAGCCCCGAGATGGCCCCCAGGAGGCTCCAAGAGGCCGCCAAGAGGGGGCGCGCCCAGGGAGGGAGTCGAGCAGGGCGGCAGGGGCTGTCTGGTGCACGCCCAGAGGGGCCGCTCGGGAGACGCCCCCGCGCGCGCGAAAGAGTCGGAGGCCCCGCCGGAGAGCAGGAGGTCCACCCGCGGCTCCCAACTTCGCGCTTCGCGCTCCGCGAAGCGCGAAGCGCGAATAACTTCGCGCCCTCGCGCCGCCGCCCCAAAGGGAGAAAAGGAGGACGAGGAGGAGGGGGGAGAAGGAACGAGGACCGCGAAGCGCGAAGCGCGAATAACTTCGCGCCCTCGTGGGAGCCCTTGCGTAAGAAGCACCCCGACGACCGAAAGCCGCTCGGTCTGCCGCCGCTCGGACGTCCACTCCCCGTGCACTGCTCGGCCCCGTGCGCGCTTACTATTTGTCGCAAGGTGCTCCAAGACGCTCATCGAAGGATTGCAAAAAAACCCAGGATTGCAAAAAAACCGAAGGATTGCAAAAAA